TTTCCCAGCCTCCTCTTGAGCTGTCTTAGCCTTCTCTGCATCCCTTATCACAACCTGTGCTGGAAATGCAAACCCATCAGGCTCCTCCAGTAAAGCCCACGATGCCCAGAATAAGACGCCAGTCTTATTTCTCACCAGTTCCCCCAGCTTCTCCGTTGTTATCTATCAGCTGGGTGGAGAAATGGGTGTACAGGGAGGAAGGCAGGGCAGGGGGGAAGAAATGAAAGCAGTTCCCTTGGCACCTCTCCAGGTTGTTGGCCGCTCTCTCAACAACCTAGAAAGGGAGGGGCCGTGCTGAGAGGACTTGGGCTGCCTCCACTACCCTCTCTCCAGTCCTTCCCAGTGACCAGCCTTTTATTTCCAAAAGAAACCTAAGATTTGTAACTTCTCTGCTTAAAACTCCAGGGGACTAGACTGCTTACAGAGCAAGGAGCACAGCCCTGGGTGGCCCGCCCGGTGGCCCACCCGCCCCACTGGCCTCCACGTCCCTGTCTGCCTCCGCCCGTCTGCTCACCTCTACAGCTCGTGGACCTGGCTTTCTAACTCTCCTCGGACTCTCACACAGTGTGCTGCCGGTGTGACTGGTCTGGTTCCCCCTTTCTCATTTTCGCTAAGATCTTGCCAGAAGTTGTCAGTGTGAAGTGTACTTCATCCACCCACCACGTAGCATCATCATTGTGTACTCTTTCCTTTTGAGCTCCCATCGTATTCTATAGAGTCTCTGGAAACAGCCCCCCTCCAATTTGTACCGCATGTTTTGGGCACCTGTTTGTCTCGCCTACTTGAATGTAAAGTAGCCAAAGAGAACCTTGAAGTCACACCGGCCTTAGCATTTTTAATTTTGTTTTGGTTTTTTTTGGCCTTACCATTTTTGAGCTGTATATCCATAAGCAAGTTACTTACACCCTGTGAGTCTCCAATGTAAAGATTTATAAAATTATTTGTAACAGTGGAGGTGATCACATCTACCTTTACAAGCCTGGCATGTGAAATACCGACTGAGTTCTGGCCACTAGCCCAGGGGAAAGCCTGGATGACATGCCCATAGGCTAAGCAGGGGGACAACGGAGCCAAAGGGGCTACTTGGGGGAGGGAGGTGTCCCTCAGAACCTGGAGGAACCAGAAGCCCAGAAGTAAAGAGCACTATCCGTGGATGTGAAAGAGATGCCCGGCCCTCTCTGAGGGCCTTCAAAGGTGGCTCTCCCACCAACTCTCCTCTGCAGGTCACAGCTGTGCACCCTGCAGGGACCACTCAAGACCATAACCACTTAACAGCCAAGGATGCCCAGACCGTTGTGTGGTACCTCACCTGCCCGACACTTGTAAACCTGTGGTTTTCCTACCAGTTGCCACTGCCCACAGTCCTGACTTGTGCCTGCTTCATCCACTGTGAGCTCTGAGTGACCACAGGCCCCTGGGGGCTGCCAGGTCAGAGAGGACGACTCCGCATACCGACTTCCTGGCTGGTGGTGATTTAAGCCAGGTTGGATTTATTCAACGGTGGAAATGGTAAATTTGCTATGTTTTCTAGGGACAGTTATTTATGGAGGGGCATTTTTAACTCAAGTGCTAGGAGTGTTAAATCATGATAATAAATTCATGCTATTTAGACTTTCTTACATTGTAAGAAACAACACAACACTCACCTGAATCGTCCATAATTCTTCTGCTTATGACCCCCCTTTCTGATGCCTGGATTTCTTCTCTGCTGTGATTTACCACCGGGCAATTCTTAATGACATGTGTGAGTGATATAATCTGCTCCTCTGTGGTAACCATGTACTGCTGAAGTCTTGACTAGAGGAAAGAAATAACATTACCAGCATAACAGATGCCAAAGCATGACCAGGAAAACAAAGTGTATATAAAGGAAAACAATGCATAAAGTTCGTTGTTAGAAGCCGTCAAGTTAGTCCTGACTTTTGGCGACCTCGCGTACAACAGAAGAAAACATTGCCCTGCCTGTGCCACTTTCACAATTGTTATGTTTGAGCCCATTGTGGCTCCCGTGTTAATCCAACTCATTAAAGGTCTCCCTCTTCTTCTCTGCCCTTCTACTTTCTCAAGCATGCAATCCTTCCTTGGGGATTGGTTTTTCCTGATAAACCAAACCAAACTCACTGCCATCCAGTGAGTAAATGCTGACTCATAATGACCCTGTAGGGCACAGAACTGCCCCTGTGGAGTAGAAAACATCGTCTTTCTCCCTCAGAGAAGCTGGTGATTTTGAACTGCTGACCTTATGGTTAGCAGCCCTGTGCTTAACCCACTATGCCACCTGTTAACATGTCCAGAATAAATGAGACAAAAATCTCACCAGCCTCTCTTCTAAGGAACATTCTGGCTGTTCTTCAAAAGTAGATGTATTTGTTCTCCTGGCAGTCCGTGATATATTCAGTATTCTTCACCAGCACCATAAATTCAATTGTATAGATTCTTCCTTGGTCTTCCTTATTCAATGTCCAACTTTCACAAGCATATGAGGTGGTTGAAAATACCATGCTTTAGGCAGGCACACCTTGGTCCTCAGAGTGACACCCTTGCTCGTCAACACTTTTACAGAGGTCTTGTAAAGCACATTTACCCAATGCAATACATGGTTGACTCTCTTGACTGCTGCTTCAATAAGCAATGACTGTGGATCCAAGTAAGATGAAATCCTTGATATCTTCAATCTTTTCTCCGTTCATCACAATGATTTTGGTTTTCTTTACACTGAGTGGCAATCCATACGGAAGGCGCAAGTCCTCGGTCTTCATCAGCAAGTGCTTCAAGGCCTCCTCTTTCAGCAACAAGGCTGTGTCACCTGCATATCACAGGTTGTTAAGAAGCCTTCTTCCAACCCTGATGCCATACTTTGCTTCATATAATTCAGCTTCTCAGATAATGTGCTCAGCATACAGATTGAATAAGGGTGGTGCGAGGATACAACCATGACTGATGCACACTTTTCCTGATTTTAAACCATGTGGTACTCCTTGTTCTATTTCAAATACTCCTTCTTGGTCCATATAGATTCCATGTGAGCCCAATGTTCTGGAAATTTCTATTTTTATCAAGGCTACTCACAGTTTGTTATGATCCACACAGTTAATGCCTTTGAGCAGTCAATAAATTACATGAAAACCTTTTTTTGGTATTATCTGCTTTCAGGCAAGCTCCATCTGAAACCAGCAAACGTATCCCTCATTCACATCCTCTTTGGAATCCAGCTTGAATTTGTGGCAGCTCCCTGTCAACAAACTGCTGCAACTGCCTTGTATAATTGAACAAATGCCTTGCTGACAATAGTTGACAAAATTTTACTTGCACGTGGGAGCAATGACAGTCCTGTAATCTGAGCATTCTGTTGGGTTATCTCTTTGGAATAGGCACAAATACAGATCTTCACCAATCAGTTGGCCAGGTACTTGTCTTCCAGATTTCTTGGCGTAGGCAAGTGAGTGCTTCCAGTGCATCATCAGCATGGTGAAGCAGTTCACTTGGTATTCTGTCAATTCCTAGTCTGTTTTACACAAGTGGCTTCAGTGTAGCTTGGATAGATTAGATTGATATTACTTTAAATACTCTAGAAATTTAAGACCTTAAATTTGAAAACAATGCTATGCATAAGAATGAACAATCAGAAGTAATATAAATTCTCACACCAGAGGACCAGTCAGATAAACCATGGGTCATTATTAATTAATAAGTATATTGCTACCTCAGTAAAAAATTCCATAGGGCTTTCAACTTACAAAATCTTTACATGGATACGATTTTAACTGACTCCCACTGCAATAAATATATGTATGCATGTATGTATATTTCTCTCTCTATATATATACACTATAATATATATTTATATATAATACATAATGGTAGAGGCAAGAGATTTTGCAGTGAGAGTCCACGTAAAGATTTTATAAACTGAAAGCCCTATAAACTGTAATTTATAAAAATTTAAAACATATATATAATGTTGGGTAAAGCCCTGAAAACCCTGGCAGTGTGCTTCCATACAGCACAGGGCAAGAGACCCAGATGGAGTTCCAACCCGTCACATATGGCGCTGCCATAAGGTCCAGCTATACAGACATAGATATAATGATAACTGATAAAAATCAATTGAGGCCAGCAAGAAGAAATACTATTGCTAACTTAAGGATACTACTTATTTTATACTATCAGTCTAATTCTTTCCCTGAAATCTACACTCATTTATCTAACAGTTATATCCATCTAGACCACAACGAGCCTTCTTAAATTAAAATGTCCCAAACCAAAGTTCTCCTGAAACCTTCCCTGATTGTTCAGGTCAAAAATGAGGGGATCACCCTTGACTCTTCTCCTCCCACACCTGTCCATCAGCAAATCCTAGTGGTCTGCGTCTCTGTTGGAGTGTCAGAGGGAACTCACAGGGCCACCACAGGACACTTTAACATTTCGAGGGAAACAGCGATATACCACTGTCGGGCACTAGCAAATCACTAGCTCAAGAGGGCTCAGGGTTTCAATATTAGATCATTCCACAATCCCTTTAGCTGATGACAGATCTTCACATAGCTAGGCTCCCACACGGCAAAGAGTGAATGGAAAACAGTGTGGACAGGCAATGTGAGTGATGGTGTCCAACGTGACTTTAAGCTTAGAGAGATGCTGTGTGATGCTTAACAAGCACAGATATTCCATTAGGTGTTTGAGACTATTAAAGAGTAAAATGAAAATATCACTTTGATTTTCATTTATATGCATTGTTTATTTCCAGCAGTTCCTACATTGTTAAGACAGAACTACTTATATAGTTAGGTGGACCTCAAAACTTAAATGGAAGGGTTCAGTATTTCTCCTGGCCTCGAGTGCTTTGAGACATTAAGGGCACCAGGAACAGAGAAAGGTAGCTGTTAGTAATCTCATCTCAACATAATAACCAGAGTTGAGATATCACATGGCTTAGCATTTTAAGCAAACCTCTTAGCCTCACAAGCTTCTGATTCAGTATGTGCCAAAAGCATTGTGGGAAGAACAGTTTGCTAAAAGAACTCATCTTTCCATCAATCTCTTAAGCAAAACCAAAATTAATGAACACAATTATACAGGATGAATCATAACTGGGGACAAGGCTTAGATTTATCAATACTATCCAGAGGGCAATAGGAAACCTGGTCATGCTGTGGGTTAGGTACAGAGAGCTATTACCTACAAGGATGGCAGTTCAAACCAACCGTCTCAGGTTTTGGTAACTGTATTTTGGTATTGCCAAGAGTTAATCTTGATAGATTTTCTCAGATTTTCTCGAAAGACACAAGATGATCGTGGGAATTTATTACGAAGAAGTTAAAAAAACACAAAAACCTGAAAACTACGCTGACGAGGAAAAAGGTCAGAGAAATTGTACCAAGGAATTGTTTTCCACCACAACAATGCACCAGCAAGGGCTTACCTATGAGAACTGTGTTGAGAAACCTTACCCCAGTCATCCTACAGCCCTGATCTTGCCCCATCACTTTTTGGTTCCCCAAACTCGAAGGACATTGAAAAAGAATATGATTTGAAGTCTCTCAAGGATGTCAAACTGTCATTTTGATGTAGCACAAGTTGAAGAGCATAGAATTCTTTTCTTTTTCTTAAAATAAATTATTTTATTGGGGGCTCTTACAGCTCTAATAACCATACATAAATTGCATTGTACACATTTATACATATGTTGCCATCATCATTTTCAGAACATTTTCTTTCTATATGAGCCCTTGGTATCAGTTCCTCTTTTTGCCCCTCCGTCCTCAACCCTCCCACCCTCGTGAACCTTTGATAAGTTATAAATTATTATTATGTTCATCTCTTACACCATCCGCTGTCTCCCTTCACCCACGTTTCTGCTGTTTGCCCCTCCCCCTGGAGGAGGGAGTTACATGGCAATCATTGCAGTTGGTTCCCCCTTTCTCCCTCGTCCCCCCAACCTTCCTCCTACCTTCATGGTATCGCTACTCCCATTACTGTTCCTGAGGGGTTTATCTGTCCTGGATTTCATGTGTCAAGAACTCTTATCTGTACCAGTGTACATGCTTCAGTCTAGCTGGATTTGTAAGGTAG